AATTAAGCAAATATTCAGCCATTCAAAGCTAAACTGGACAGAGGATTTGCATCTATCAACAGAAAATTTAATACCTTTCTTCTGGGACAACTGAATCATCAGGAGACTATAGTTAAGACCTAACTTGCACAGAATGAACCCTATAAATGTAGGTAATCATTACAATTATTTTTATTTTATCATACATAAAAGATCACATTGATATGTACATGGATATGAATATCATATCTGGAATATTACATAGACTTTCTACTTTTTTCCTCCTTAGTCCCTCTTTTTACTGGATTACCCTTTGCTCTGTCCTTGGTTCTTTCCCTCCTGTTCTTATCTTCCTTTTAGATTTTTTTTCATAACTTCTTCAGGTTGATTCCTTTTCTTTGGCTCTTCTATATTTTGTCTTTCCAAATCCCTTATTCCATTTCATTATTTACCTTCTCTCTCAGTTATTTTATTCTTTTTCCAGACTTACTTCTTAGAATCATCCATTATCTGTGCCTGGTTTACTCCCCACTCCCACCCTCCCCCCGCCCCCCATGCTTATTATCACTCTAGTCTTTAATCTGTCCCTTACTTCCATCTGTTCATTATCTTCAGGTTGTCCATCTCATCCTGTTACAGACAGACTATGTTGCTTCTTGCTGCCCACATAAGAAAAAAAGGAATCTTTTAGCTGGCTAGCTTTTCTTGATTCCACTATATCTTTCTCACACCACTTCCCAGTTCATAGTGAATGGTAATAACAACTTTAAAATATCATTGAAAAAACCCTCAAACCACCAAAAAAACCCTCACAGTTCCAGATCTGTGCAAAAAAGACAGGGCCTCTTAACTTTTGTGTGAGGTACAAAGAGATTTGCTTTTATTTGCTCTATTTCATCTTTCTGCCGTTGCTGACATTACAAAGAATTTATATATTTCAATGTTCTTTATGCCCTTTTAAACATAGACACTCATAGCAGCTATTGAGAACAGAGGAATCACTAAAAACAGTCTGGAGACAGCCCATTGGATTGGTTAAGGAACTGACAAATACTTTGTGTAAAAGAAAAAGAGCACAGGAGCAATATTTAATACAGCTTTTTTTTTATTTTAGAGGCGGTTTTGGGTTTTAGCCCCTGCTAAGCAGTTTCAAAATTTGTGAAATTGCCAGTATGCTTTGGGATCACTTTCTAGAATGTAACTGAATATAAGTGACTCTTAGTCATATCAGAATTTCATAACTAAGCAAGTTCATGGTAAAAATGACCAGAAAAAAACATCTCTTTAATTTTGGTGAGGTTTTTGCCTCTGGAAGGAAATTATGGCAGAAGAATTTGAGACAACAGATCCAGGCACACTTGGAACTGCTAAACTGTTTAGACAAATCACTGAAGCAATTGAAACAATAATTATTTAAATAATTTTAAATCTGTAATTTAAATTAAGCTTAGAAAAGGAAGATCCCTAGTTTTCTGCTGTCTTGGGAGCAAGAGGCTACAAAACACTTTCTGTACAAATTGAGTTAGAGGCATTGCTGCTAAGAGTAAAGTTTTCTTATAAGGTTAGATTAGATTATTGCTTCTTGCAGGACCATTTTACTATAGATTTTTGGCATGCAATTTTGAATATTTCCTTGACTAGAATGTTTTGGTTTACAAGGAAAGCACAAAACACAGGAAAGTTAGTGTGCTGGGGAGGAGAAAATGTGTGGCTCTGCTAGCAAATAATTTCCAGATCTACTGTCTGAACAAACTAAAGCCCATGAAACCTTTCAATAACTGGTTTCATCCCCAAATTCATGGTTCAGTTTTCATCTTCACAGAGAATGGGAGATGAAGTGACAGTGCTATATCAGATGTTAGTTTCTTTATATTTTTATGTGATATTTTGCAAGCTATTGATAAAAACACTTGGAACTCTATAGCTGTAAAGCCACAAAACAATATGAAGAAAAAATGTAGTTTACTGTTCTTTTGACATGCAAGACTCATTTCTTTTGATGTATGTTCTTTCATTCCTGCGGAGACAAAAATTAAACCCCAATACTCTTCCACTTTTTCTAAGAGAATAAAGTAGAGCTCTATTCCGTAACTTTCCAATGAGAAATATTTTGTTAGTATTTGAATTTTCCAATTGTTGTTCTTTTTCATTCAGGAAAAATTTGCTTTTATGTAACCACTGCCCTAGAAAATTAGCATTTATGGCCAACAATGAACCTTTTTCTTCTTTTTTTTTTTTCAGCAGACTTCATTTTAGGATGATCAACCAGATGATGTTTTACGCTTGGAAACTACTTTCAAAAAAGTTTGTTAAAAGATTGATCCATGTGCTGCATGTGGACACTGACCTGCAGAATTGTCTCTGGAGTGTGCAGATTTGCAGTGTGCAGGATGTGTCAGGCAGTGATGCAGGTAATTAGCACCTGATGTGACAACACAATGGTACCGTAGCCACAGTGTCTCAGCTTAATGGAATGTATATTCACCTTGAGATCCTGTGACACAAATGAAATGAACTAACACTTATTGTCACTTCAGTAAGGAACTAGCAGGGAGGCATTTTAAAAATCCATAAATGTTGGAAGTCCCTGAAAGCTGGTGAACCAGTTTCCTTTAGCTGAAGTGACAGTGTCTGCTACGATATCCAAGGACCTAAATTTTTCTCTTTAGAGCAATTAGTCAATCATGGACCTGTGAAAAAATATGTCCCACTTCATACAGCTGTGCAATAATTACTTTAAGTGATAAGGTTACAACAGTGAAACCTGGCAAAGATTTTTACAATCAGCTTGTACCCTGTTAGAGTCACTAGCAGCATGCTAAGAAATGTCAACAGTAATTAAACCCAGTCATTTTCAAATATGTGCCATGCTTTGGCAACAGTGAGGAATGCTTTTCACAGTAAGAATTCTCAGCCCTATGAGCACAGATTTTTTTTTAAGATATTTTTTTCTTTTTATGGGAAGAGGAACATTTTTCTCTTTTTCTTTTGGCAACACAATTTTGACGATGTTTATTCATTAAAGGAATGTATCAAAAATCACAACTACAGATTTCTTCTCTCAACTTGTCACAGTTCTTACTGAGCTTGAATTTAAGGATTGTCCCTGCATGCAATTCTGAGTACATTGCATAGAATTTATTTTAAAAAATTGTGAAACACTTTGGCAAAACATCTAAAAATTTACTGAAAAGTGACGTTTCAAAATACTGAAAAGAAATTATATTCAGGTTTTGGAAGTACTTTTGGAAAAATAAAGAGCACAAATTTGCAAATTGTTAGCAACTTGCTTCTAAAATAAAGCATTTAAATGTTTCCATTTGCAAAGAATTGAAGAAGAGGACAGTGACTCCCCTATATCCAGTTCATTTAACTTTCAGTACTGTACTGATGTAGTAATTTAAATATCACCACCTTGACCCGGTAAGCTTTATTAGCAACAGAGGTGTGAGGTACTTCAGGACAAAAGCTTCTCACTGTGTGACTGGAGCAGTGTCAGAGACTTGGGCTTTTCATTTGCTGGAAAGGTCTCTTTGGCCACTCTCATAGGTAATAAGTACTTGGTTGATGTAATAAAAATGTAACAGAGACAACTGGAAACATCCTCATCCAGGATACTCCTCTGGAGACAGAAACGTTTTTTTTTCTCAATAGGGGCAAAGTCCATTTTTGAGAGTTGGATAGGTATGGTGAGGTGTGGTGTGCAAGATGGGTCTGTTCCTATCTATGTTCCAGTAAGCTCTAGCTGCCTTACTCAAGAGATGAGTGTAGTGCTGATGCTGTCTTGGCACAATTTTTCAGCTCAGCATAGGGGCTGTAGTTACGTGCTTCTGACAATAAAGGCAGAAAAACAAAAAGTGAAGGCTTTTGTACAAGTTTGCTCACATATTCATCCAGTTGAAGCTTACTGTTTTTCAATGCTATGTTAACATTGAGTATCATGTCAAAGGCTGAATCTTGCTCCTGCTGGAGTCAAAGGCATTCATTTAACTTTGCTAGGGCCTGTGTTTTGTTGTTATGAAATGTCAGCTGTCCCCCACAGCCAACAAGTAATAAAGTACTTCTCTTACCTTCTGGTAAAATAATTTGGAAATGGTAAAATTGGTTAATGAGATATTTCTCTTGAGAAAAGTCCTCTTAGCTCCAACTTGTTTTCTATTTGGACAATATTTAGCTTTACTGTAGACTTCTTACAATCACCTCAAATAAAAAAAAATGGCTTGGGAATACCCTTTTAGAAAAGTGCACTGAAGACATAATGACAACAGGAGAATACACTAATACCATTTAAGTGAAGTAATATAATAATAAAATTTTTGAATGCCCTCATGCCAGAATTGGCTACTTAGAAAGTAAAATGGTTCACATTAGATACAAAATGTTGAAGAAAGAATTAAGAAAACATCTTATGAAAAAGTTTATCCATTTTGTTCATTTAATGCACATCAAAATTAATTATATTTTGCAATTTTTTAATTACTTTAACTCATTAGAAATGTTAAGAACAACAATGCAAGCTTCACATTACATTAGTACCTGCTTCTGTTTTAACTGATAGATATTTTATTACTTACTGGCATATTTACAAAAATCGTGAAGAGCATTTCTAAAGTCCTCATTGCTTTTAAATAAAAAAGTATGATATAATTATACATTTCATGCTACTAGATTCATGCAAGTATTTCTGATGTGAATTAATCAGTATCTTGAAAGAGATAATACCTTGGTACTCTCAGAGTAAAAAGACATATTTCCTGCTTGGAAATAGCATCCTCACAACCAGCAACAATAAGTTTCATAAACTTTGAACTCACTATAAGAACCTTTCAGGATTATTTTCCAGTGGAAAAAAAAATGATAGTAAATTCATTATTGTCTTTAGCTCAATACAAACCTGTTAAAGAAGTCTGCATTTTCCAATGCCAACACCCAAATTTGAATCAAGAGAAAGCTTTCAACATGTGCCTACTATGATCTTTTTCTCTTTTAGTGGTTCAGCAGGCCATCAATGAAATATTTACCTGACTAGTGTGGCTCTCCCTGTGCCTTTGAATCGATGAGCCTGCTGTAGTGCTGGCAGACAGTCTGGAAAAGTCATTTTCCTCTGGTAATCCTAAAGCAGAAGAATATTAAATTATAATCTGAGATTTATGCACTGGTTGATTTCAAAATAAGGTTCAAAAGGTCTTAGTATGTTTTACTAAAAGAGAAACAAAAACCCCCAAATCACATATTTCCTGAATATTTACTATTTCCATGCTTACTGAAACAGAAAAAATATTTTTTTACCATGTAGGGACAGTATGATAGGTATTTATGCTGGTTGGTGGGTTGACCCTGGATGGATGCTGAGTGCCCACCCAAGCAGCTCCATCACTCCCCTCCTCAGCTGTATAGAGGGGAAAAATATAACAAAAGGCTTGTGGATCAAGATAAGGACAGGAGAGATCACTCACCAGGTATTGTCATAGGAAAAAACAGACTCAGGGTGGGGAAATGAACTGATTTTATTAGCAATCAAAATAAGAGTAGAAAAATGAGAATTAAAACAGAGCTTGAAACCCTCTAAAGCCCCTCTATCCTCCTTTTAGTTTCCCCCTCATAGCAGTCCCTTCCCACAACTTTGTAACTAGGGACAACAGTTTTTTAATATTCTTTCTTCTTCTGAATAAAGCTCCTGTAAGTATTCATAAATATGGATCTTCTACATCATCTGGACTTCTCTGAACACACAGACAGTGAAGAAGGTGAATCCCTGGTCTGAAGCTCAAGAACCAGGTCCAGTCTGAGAGAGTCCAGCATTTCAGTTCTTTACTGCTTGCTGCAAAAGGAATCTGACCCTGTTCTCTCAGTAATGGAACTATGTGTTGTTTTGAGGTTGGATTATCAGTTTTTGAAGCTGGGAAATTATATATTACATATGTATAGGGGAAAGGTGTGACATCCAAGGTCTCTAGTGTAATGCTAGTCTTGTAAATTATATGTCAGTTATCACTATTGCTTTCTTGTCTACATTAAATTCTCTGTACTCAAACTAAAACTTCTCCTTTTGTTTTTGGTTGAATGAAATGCTTGAAATAAATTTCCCTCTAAAAAAAATCACAGTTTTTGTGAATGGAAAGCAACCCCCTTTTTCAAATAATTTCCTGAACTAAAAATTTATTTACATGGATTCAGTTTGGATCCATCTCAAATAAAGCAGTAAAAAATTAACTACATTTTAATGCAAAGTAACTACTAAAAGTAGGTGCTATTCATTTAATTCAAATAAAAGATAGAATGTAAAATATTTTCATAATTATAGACCACAAAAAAATGAATAAAAATACTTTCCTAGGCCAAACAGCAAGTTCTGAAAAAATATTGATTTTGTACGATGTTAATACACTTCAGGATTGACTGCCCAGGACAGCCTTGAGCTAAGAATCAGGTTATCAATGATTTTCTGTTTATTTCTGTAAAAAGCACTTTGATAATTTGCCTTATCAAATAAGTAAAGCTTCCATGTACAGCAACAGCACATTGTCACAGACATGGCAAGCAGAGGCTTGGTAGAGCTTGGAAAGACAAATGGAGTTGTTGATTATGTTCTGAGAGCTTTCCTTTACGTACACCTAAGTAAATATTAGGATGCCACAGCTGTACATTGAGTAGGACCTTGTTTAATTGAGTCCAAGGTTGGAAGCATCAGTTTAGCTGGGCCAGAGGGAAAATTACAAGAACCTAAGTTAATCAGGGGCTCAGTCTGGAGTACAAACCACACCACCTGGATTGGGTTTTCCTGCAACTACTCTCAAGTTAGCAAAGGTAAGTTGAATTTGGCATTTTTTTTTCTTTTGGGCAAAATTATGTTTTCTATACATTATTACTGCAATTATATGTGGCACTGTTTTGGGTAATGCAGGATCACAACTTCAAGCATTTCAATGTAAAAGGTTATTTCAGGCTTTCTGATTACTTTTTGTATTTGGCAAAAAGCTCTTTCTTTCAGAATAAGAACTCTGCTAAGTGTGGAAGATTTATGGTGAAGTCACTGTTATATAGCACAGAGATGTACAAAGGTGCTACTCCTATCAAAAATAAAATAAAAAATAAGAGCAATTATATTCATTATACAAAATGAAAAAGCAACTTCTATTAAAAATCTGAACTCAGAGAAGTGTTATTTCCTTAGGATTAATGCTTTTAGAACCTTGAAACATATTCTGTCACTGCTCTTGTACCATTTTGTATTGCAATGATGCACAATATTTCATTCACTTGTAAGGCACCTACAGCAAAGGGAGACACTGATTTCCTATTTTCTGTGCCATTTGCATTGATTATAGGATCAGAAGCTTAAATCACACTCCTCTCTGCCTTAGGCTGCTTATAGACTTGGAGCTGAAGGAATTACAAATTCCTCAACAGAGGTTGTTTTATGTTCTTTCCATTCAGCTTTTATTGGAGAGGGGCTTATCAGTTCACACATACAAAGTTAAGCCAGTTCCAGAGATATTTCACAACTCAGAAGATTCCAGCCTGACTTACAAAGCTTATTCAATAAAACACTTCAGCAATTTTATGTTAGAAGAGTTTTGGGATTAAAAACTACTTACCATTTGATACTGAATTTCCATTTTCAGCAGTCACAGAACCGGACAATGGATTAGATGACTGAGTTCCATGGTTATTTGCATTTTTATCCTGTGTTTCTGATCCAGAATCTGATGTATTTGGATCTTCCCTGCTCCTCAAGTTCAGATTAGTTTCAGCACCTGACAGAAAGAGAAAAAATGATTGTCAGCTTCCTTTTAACCAGTGGCTTTCACATGTAATTAGATGAAAACTAAACTAACACAGAGAGACCAAGTCACTTTATTAAATTAATCACTAAATTCACAAGTCCAGTGATAAAAGTGAAAGGTTTCAATCAGTGATTTTTTTTTTTTTTTTTTATTGGTTGGGTTGGTTGGGTTTTTTGTTACTGCTCCACTTGAAGCTTTTTCAAGTATAGGGGAGTGAAAGGCATTACAAAATTTAATTTGTATTGTTTCTTTCCACACAAATATCAGTGGATATAGCTCACCAAGTGTTTGTATTGTCTCTTAGATTCTATTTCACATGAGCTTACATAGCACTGTCATCACTGCAATGCTTTTCATCGTTGCACTAAATGATAGTAGCAACAGATATAATGTGATCTTAGCCTTTTCTCTAACCTCCTACTGCAAGAAACAAACTGACTTTTGAGATTAAACCATAGTAGCAATATTCCTTAGTTAAATTTCTTCAAGACATCAAGAAGAGGTCTGATCCTGTAGGAGTTCCAAAGCTTTTTAGCATTTGTTCAAAGAGAAGGGCAAAACAAAGCCCTTTTTCTTTTTCTTTTTCTCCCTCTGAATGATTGCAGGTGGAGGAAAAGCTTCCAGCAAAGTGCCTGGAGCTGCCTCTGAGCCTGCCTGGCTTTGGCAGCCCAGTGCTCCACAAGAAACAGGCTCAGGTCATCGGCTGTGCCCGAGTGGTGCTGCCCACTGGAGCTCAGGGGCCAGGGACACTTCAGACTGCAAGACAACGTGGATGGGGATAGCAGCAGGGACCCCACTGCAGTTCCTGTATCCACCTGGATCCCTGGCTATCCCCACTCCACTCCAGTGTGACAGGGCTGATGAAATGCTGCACTGGCAAGGTCATGCATTTTCTTAAGGTTTTATCTCTCTTTTCTGTGTTTGTTGGGGTTTTTTGTTGGTTGGTGGGTTTTCTGTCTGCTTGGTTTTGTTTTGCATTTTTGGTTTTTTTTTTGTATGTAGAACATATATACATATTCTTTCCTTGCCATAGTTAGGTTTGATTCATAGAAGACAAAGTTGAATTCAATATTTTCTCCATTTCAGTCTTCCTAACTATTTCTGCTCCCTCTGAGGACTGGCCTTAGCTGCAGGGCTGATGTATTATGGCTGACCCTGGTGCACAGGTCCTCCTGTAATACTCTAAAATGAAAATGTTCCTTCTATGACAACTCTGAGAGAGTTATTCCTTGATTTTGGTTGTCATAATGATAGCAAGAACAAATAGAGGTCAAAAGACTAGCTATTAAAATCATCATTTTTGCATTCATCCATACTTCCAATAACATCCTCAGCTTTCCCAAAGATATGATATATTTTTATAAATTTCAAACACATGAAAATTTTTCAAGGGGAAGGCAAATAATTTTTTTCACCAGGTAATAGATGCTTAACCTGAAGATTTTAGGGCCTAAGTCAATTTTTCATTTTTATGCCTGAACCAAAAAAAATTCCATCTGATTTGGAAAGCCCCAACATTAAAAACTTAATTAATGATATGGAAACTACAAATCCATTCTGGTTCTCTCAAAATATTTAATTTAATTGAAAAAGTATTTCCTGGTTTTGTTTAGCTGTTAGTTATCTAACACTGAAATGTTCTTAAAATTTCCTTGTTTAAAAAAATCTGTCTTGAAAAGTGAAAAAGTTAATTTTGATTTTTGTTCCTTCCTCCTTTGCCCTCATTCCTTGATCATTATATTTTGTCAGATCTGATTGGATTGTTTCAGTGACACTGCTTCATAAAATGAATCTTCAAGCAAATCTGCTTTGTATTGAAAAAATTAGGCCAGCTCTACCCACAATAACTGACTTGGGAGAGGCTGAGATGGAAAGTCTGAGATGGAAAATGCATACGGTACAATTATAAGTGCATGCCTGATTTAGCTTTTGTACAAGCAAGTTGACTGCAAAATGCACCTTTGCAGCTCATTTTAAATTTGTCTGAAAAGGAAATGTCACTTTTAGATGTTACTAGTCAGTGCACTTGCCTATAGATCATAATCCACCTACATAATTATTGTGCCACTTTTTACATAAAGCTTCTTGGGCAAGTGGCTGGGATCCTTACTTTTCTTGCTATTCAAAAGATTTATTGATTTGCCTGACATGTGTAATTCATTTGAGAATGAACAAGTAGCAAGAATTTTTCTGGCATTGGTGTTTGCAGAAGCCTTTTGTTTCACAGGTACATTGATATCTTTTCAGGGCATTCATGAAGGGCTCTTGGAAAAATAATTATCATTTCTTCTTGTATCTGTAAAATGAAATACTACAAAGAATTCTGGACAGCTACTATGAAGCTAGAATATCATACTAAATTGGCAGAAATAAGCAGTGGAATATATACTGCATATCTGTGGGGACAACTATCTAGACAGAAATTTGTTATCCAGTTTGGTATATTCAATCATAGTAAGAAATGTACCCCTTTAGTTTCTGAACAGAAAACTATATAGAGAAAATATATTTCATAGTGCCTTATTTAGCTGATCTTGGGGGTGAGAAAGAACCCTATATTTTATTTCAAAACAATCTGGGTTATATAAAGGTACTTGAACTACTTTCCTATATATATGCATCTTCAACTCCTCATTGGAGGAGATTCATGTGAGTCTATAGAACAAGCTTAACTGTGAACATCAGCAAACTTCAACCAGACTTCAGGAGAGGGCCCCTGAAATCAGCTTTGCCCCACACTGGACAAGTTCCCCCTGCCCCATCCTCTGCTCACAGGACCATGGTCCAGCCCTGAGCATGTGCTGTGTCCAGTTCTGGGCTCCTCAATACAGATAGACAAACTATTGGAGTGCGTCCAGTGGAGGGTCACAAAGAGGATGAGGGGCTTGGAGCATCTCTCTTATGAGAGCCCACAGGAATTGGACCTGTTTAGTCTGGAGAAGGGGATTTCATCAACACATATAAATATCTCAAAGATGGGTATCAAGAGGATGGTGCCAGGATCTTTTTAGTGGTGCTCAGTGACAGGACAAGGAGCACTGTCCATAAATTGAAACACAAGAAATTTCACCTTCCACCTTCTGAGGAAGACTTTCTTTACATTGAGAATGGCAGAGAACTGAAAAGGCTGCCCAGGGGGCTTGTGGAGTCTCCATCTCTGGAGGCATTCAAAACACACCTGGACATGTTCTTGGTTAACCTGTTGTAGGTGACCCTGCTTTGCCATGGGGTTGGATTGGGTGATCTCCAAAGGTCAGTTCCAACCCAAACAATTCTGTGATTGCTGGATTAAACTTGCTCCAGGTTATCAGCATCTTTCTGCAGCGGGAGGCACAAACTGGCCACAGTACCCGGATGTGGTCTAACAATGAGTGCTGGGTGGAGGAATGACTGACACAGCCCTGGATGCAGTTGGCTGTCTCTGCTGCCAAGGCTCACTGCCAGCTCCTGTCCAGCTCCCAGGGCCCCCAGCACCCTTTTCCCAGGGCTGCAAGAGGAACTGTATGCAAAAGAGGCAGCTCATGTAACTCAAAAAACAAAAACAAAAGAGGCAGCTCATGAAACCCACAGTTGTTTGTTATTAGTCTTCTTGGAAGAGTCTGAGTTTAAAACTCAAGATAAAGTCATAAGGCACAGGATGACCAGAATTACATTTATTTTGTAAAATAAATTGAGAGTATGGCAATGATGTAAATTAATGTATTTGCTTTCCCCCCCCTCATTTTTTAGTCACTATCTCACTTTTAAAAGAAACCAATACACTGAAAGTCTACATGCTAGAACTTTTTTTTTGAAGGTTTTTTTTAACTTTTTATTTGGGTTTTACTTTCCAATTTTCTTTTTTTCAACTTTTTTTTTTTTAACCTTAAAGTGTATGATCATAAGCATCATAATTATTTCATAAGTAGTATTTAAGCAGAACTAATGTTTTATCACTAAATTAGAAAATGAGCCAGTATTAGCTCTATTCATATGACAGATTAAAGTAGAAAACTGAAATATTTTGAGAGACAATTAGTTTTCTAAGGAAATCATATACTTAGCCTATTTTATAAAGTCTAAAGACAAAATATAAATTGATGACTAGTATCAGAATTTAGGTGGAGTCTTCATAGATTCATTGTACAGCAAGATATGAAAACCAGTATATTATTAAAGGCCCAGCAGTAATTCACCTTATGGGTTGTATTTTACTTTTCTGTCAAATCCCTTGTTTTACTCTCCTTTTTTTAAATGCAGGTATATCCATAATATTTGTGGATACATTTATCCCCATATGTTCTTTTTCAAATGCCTCTCCTTTTAACATTTAGTGATCATTTACAGTCTAACTGAAAGCTCATCAATAATAACAGAAGGCTCCACTGCTTTCAGCAGGTTTTGGATCCCATTCATGCTTACTTTGGACGCTTTGTGCAGCACTGCTTGCTTTGTCTATCCTGATTATTCAAATGTGATCACAACTGTTCTCTGGCCCTGAGGCAAATGGTAAGAGACCCATATCAGTACTACTACACTTTCCTTGCTCTCCACAGCAGAGAAGAATCCAAATCATCTACTGGGAATAGTTCCTGGAGCTGTGTCTTTTCATGAAGCATGCCCAGATGTGCCTGGAAGGGAGCCAGCCTGCCAGGTCCCAAGGAACACTGGGGATTGCTCTGCACTTCAACGGTGCACAGCAGTGATCTGCCATTCTAAGGACATTCCCTGGCATTGGCTCACTTAGTAAAACAAATGCAGCCTTTCACTTTGACAGCATTAGCTACCAGGATCAAAAATCAGTGGGCAGTATTAATCTATCTCAGAAAAAACAACAACAACAACCAAAAAACCCCCCAAAAACAAAAACAAAAACAAACAAACCAAACCAAAACAAAACCCAAACCCGGACAAATATGGAAGAAAACTGTCTCAAATTCATATGGGGCTGCTAAAGCACTGAACTATTGCACAGCTACTAAAACCATATT